TGAAGAATTTTGGAGATGCTGATTTCCAGAGGCAACAGGACTCCTCCCCAAAGCCTCCCTCCTAGAAAACATCCGTTTACTGCCTTTGCCTTCTGGTTAAGTTCCTTCTAGGCCACCGTGGACTCAGGTGGAGCCTAGTACCCCGCTGCTCCTGTCAGTATCAGTGCAGCGGATCTGGGTGACAATTTTCAGATGAGTATTGTTGACAGAATCTTGGCTGACCACAATCTCCCATCCGATCGGCTCACACTGACCCGAGCTGAATCTTAAATGCTCTTTATTTTCTCTTCCAATGGCTGTCTCAAAGCTCCTGGTTGGGCACTTTCGGGACATTTTTATGATTTCCTGAACCTACAGAGTTAGAGAAAGGACTCCTAAGCCACCTGATGACATTTTCCAGTAGATTCACTGTCCTCTGGAAAGCGGCCGTGTACCTGCCATCACTGGGGAGAGTCTAATTGTATTTGTTTCTCCTGCATTCCCAGGTGGTCCCTGGTTGTTCTGGCCACCAGGCCTGGCTTAATGTAGGGGCCCTTGTGGAGTAACTACCATTCACAGAGTCTGGAAAAGATTTTGAAAAAATGCTCCAATTTCCCTCTTTATGGCCACTGGAAAATGGGTTTGAATAGGACAATATTACAGGTGCACAGGTACTTTTCTAAAAGCCACCCCCAAATAAAAAGAAAAGTGCCCATCTCTTGAAAGCAATGTTAATGCCATTTGTATGTTTTAATGGATTGCAGAAAATATTGTAAGTTGGGGTTGGGACAGAGAGGGAGTAGGGAGTGAGGAGGGAAGGAGAAAATGAGAGGGAAGCAAAACAAAGCAAATGTGAGCCTTCAGATACTTCAAGCAAGGATAAGCTAAACATCGTTTAACTTATTTAAGACAGTTGTGCCGAGCCTCAGAGGTGATCCATCAGGCTTTTAAATGATGGCCACAAGAGTTACAGGGACATAATCAGTGTTAATGCTGCCAAGAGAAATAAACAGTGGGGAATTCTAGAAGTAGAAGTTTTAAAGAATGTTTTCCCTTTCTGCGAGCAATTAAAAATTGAAATGGGTATTCTTCCCCCAACATACAGACTCTTTCACATATTATATCCCACTGTACCGAGTCACACAGAAATTATTTTCTAGTTTTCATTTCACTTGTAAGCAGGCCTCCCATGTTATCAAATAATATCCAGTGCCCTATTTTGCATGCTCAATGTATTATTTGTTATCTAATATTTACAATAAAACAATATTTGCTCCTTATCTGAAGTTCAAGTTTAATGGGGTGCCTTGTATTTTATCTGACCACTCTATTTGCAGGGGTAGAATTTACTGAAATGTGAATGTCCTAAATCTCAAGGCGGGAGTAGCAGTTTTGTGGGCAGCACGGCTGACTCTACCTTATGGGTGGGAGGTGTTGCCATGCTGCCTTCAGAGTGCGTAAGTGTGACTGAGGAAGTATGGGGGGGGGATGAGAGTCTTCTAGACTGCAGACCAGTGGTTCTCAATCTTCCTAATGCTTCGACCCTTCCTGGTGCTATGGTGACCAACCATGAAATTATTTTGTTGCTGCTTCGTAACTGTAATTTTGCTACTGTTATGAACCGAAATGCAATATCTCTGTTTTCTGATGGTCTTAGGTGACTCTGAAAGGGTTGCAACCCACAGGCTGAGAACCACTTGTGGAGGAGCCCCCTGAAAGGCAGTGAGAGAGGAAAATTCAAGGATGCCTAGGAAAATGGGGCATCTTGGAGAGACTTTGCATAGGTAGGGTGGCAGAGGGAACGGAGAAATGGAGACCTTCAGGAATTTTACAGCACTTGACGGCTGTTTACAGATTAAGCCTGTTACTATGGATTTTGGAATTACTCAGGTGAATTCCAAAGCCTCCTCCGTGGTGGTCCTGACTGTGCTTCCTTGACCGCTAGAGGATGTTCCTGGGATTTCTTCTCACCCCCTCCCCCCGCCCCTTTTAGGACACTACTCGCAGTTCCCTTCCTGCTCCATTCCTTCTTTTTTTTTTTTTCTTTTTTTTTTTTTTGTGGGTTTATTCATTCAGAATGTGCCCTAGTCATGACACCTCTCAGCTGCCCTGGCCCGGAGAGGAGGCCACACAGAGCTAGGCATTGTTGATCCAGATCTGGGACCACCCGGGTGGGAGCAGAGGAGACACAACCCACTAACACAGACGCCTGGTGACTGACAGCAGCTTCGGGTCAAGTGCCCAGCGGGCTGCTCCGGAAAGAGGCCCTGTGTTCCGGACCCCAGCGGGGTCTTGCCCACAAAGCTCGCCTCCAGGGGGAAACAAACCCTTCCTCCAAGCTCCCTTCAGACTCACTCAAACGGTGCTCGACACCCCTCCCCCCGCCCTTAGTAAGGACTAGAAATTTAAAAAAAATGAAAAAATGTTAGGAAAAAAAAACACAAAGTTAAATATATTTACTTAGAAACAGTGAAAAATGTTAGCCCGATTTCGTTTCTTTCATAGTTCTGTTTGTGAGCAGATTTAGGACCATCCACGTGTGTGTGTGGGTCTCTACCTGTTTCCTTCTCATTCGGGTTAGACTGGGACTGAGGTGCCTTGTTCCTCAGCCACAGTGGCCCCTCCACCATCTCACTGTGCGAGACCAGCTCCATAAGATGGCTCTGTGGGGCTTCCACCTTAGGCTGCAGAGTGAAGAGAAATTGCTTAAGGAGGGAGTACTTTCTAGCAGTGGGTTGATCTGCCGTGGCACTTCCCGGGACGCAATCCAATGTCCAGATTATATCATCGCTTTCTTCAGGTTTTGTTCTGTTGGATGTGAGCAATTTCCTTCCTATTCCCAAACTGGCTAAGTGAACATCATCTATAACTTGGAAAAAGGTCCAAATACAGTGATTTGTGAAAAAAAACTCCCATCCTAATTAATATCCTATAGAGAAATTGATGAAAGTTAAGAAAAACGCAAACGCGCAACGAAGCGCTGTAATTCCACTGAAGCCTTCCCAAAATGCTAACTGCCCCCTGCTGGTAGCCAGAGAGATTAAAGGACCTATTGCTAGACCTTCAGGCCGGGGATTAATGATATCGTCTGTCCACCAATTCTTTATTAAGAAGCTGGAGGGAAAATAGTCCTCCATAATTGGTTCTTAGTAACTAGGGCTGCTTTTGAAACACCTTTTGGGATCTAATTCTGCTCTTTTCCTAAATGGCAGCCGTAATCACGGAGATAAATCTACCTAATTTGAAGGTCAGGCAGGAAATCACTGTTTGAAAGAGTCTCATGGTAGTGTTAGCTTTTCTGATTCCCAACACAGAAATGATTCCCTTTATTTGAGAAATCGGAATCCGACCTGAGCAACAAGTTGTCAAAGCACCATGCATCCCGCGTCTCTTCCTCTTTTTTGTCTTCCGTTTTTAGGAGTCGAACCACAGAGATGTCATTACACATTGCCTCATGGCTAAGTTGTGTCCCAACCCCTGATCTCCCCCTCACCCTCTGGTTCTGCTAAGAGTTTACTGTCCGGAGTGGCATCTTACTCTAGCATGTCTTGAGCTCACTACAGTATTTCCATAAATGTGGAAAAGAATAACAACAATATGCAAATACATTAATGTAAAACTATTTTTTCTTTATTGAAAATACATCTACAAAGTAATGTTTTTCAGTCCACAGTGGGTGCATGCATATGCAGAGCCTCTGACGGACTGGCAAAGGGATCACCTTAGAGGGCCTGATTTCATAAGAAATGGTTAGTACAAAAAAAAAAAAATCACACCGGGTAACAGCATTAATTTGACATGATTAACTTTCCTTCTACTAGTGTTGTAAAATGACTGCCACATACATTAACTTCTGTAGTGTATTTCCAAAATAGAGCTTGACGTTATTAAATGATTACTCCACCATAGCCTAGTGTTAACCTTTATATGCATGAAATACTCAAGATAGATATAACATGTCTAATTGTAGATTGGGAGATGCTGTTTCTAGATACTCAGTGTGTTAGCGTAATTATGTCCACTCATTATTTTCGGTCAGAAACTAAGGCAGCTGGTACTATCTGATGGCTCCCACTGAATATCTTTGACTGAATATTCTAAGGGGGTAAAAATAATTAATCTCTTTTAAACCTGGGGGCTGCCTTGCCTGAAAGTAATGCCCCTGTTGTCTTTTCTCCCATCCTGATTGATGTTATTTTCAAGCTGACTCATCTACCATTTTTTTTTTGTAGGACCACAAACAAAACTAAAGCAAACCCCACTCTAGATGAGAATTTTGAATGATGTGTCAAGTGGCATTTTTATACAAAGAAGTATCTTGTTTCTTTCATTCTAAGAACTTCAGTTCAAATTGTAAAACAAAACAAAATCCAAAAAACACAACAAAACAAAAAAAAACCAGATAATTTCAGAGATGAGATTATCCACCTAGCACATGGATCTGTCCTAGAAATCTCCCTTGTGCGACACTGAAATTGAACTGAAGACACTGTGTTCAGGTTAACAAAAAGGGCGGAGATGTAGCTCTCCCTTTTACTGGTCTGTAAAGAAGACCAACTATTCTTGATCTTTATTTATTTAGTTTTCGAGATAGGGTTTCTCTATGTAGCCCTGGCTGTCCTGAAACTCACTCTGTGGACCAGCCTGGCCTCTAACTCACAGAGATCTGCCTTCCTCTACCTCCCGAGTGCTGGGATTAAAGAATCCTCCCTTTGTAATTTTGTCTATACTCTGTTCTCTGCTCTTTAGTGTTCCATAGTGTTCATAAGACCATGAACACACTTGCTAGTTGCCAGTCTTCTGTTTATTTCCTGAACATCTAATTGTCAGTTGAGGGGTGGTAGAAGGCTTTCTTAGAGCCATCCCTTGGGTTTGGGAAGAATACCCAAGAAGGGAGTGCTTCTAGTATTCGTAAACAAAACAAACATCACCCAGAAACAGGTAAAGGGGCCCCACAAATAATCTCATTCCTGGAATGGCCTTCCACATGTCTACTTATATAACCAAAATTTTGGACCCGGGACCCAGTGAGCCACACACAGCCTGCCCCTAGAGAGAAATGTCCGTTCCATTAAGTGTCCTTTTTAGATCTCCATGTTATACAGGGCAGGCAGAGTCCTCCTGGTGTCACAGCAATCTCAGCTAGAGAGGAGTCTAGAGGAGTCACTCATTCTCTGGATGAGAACACTGAGGCCAAGGCATGAGATGAGTCTCACTCAAAACCACACTTTCTGCTCCTCCTCACAGCTATGCTGTGTACATGTGCGCATTGCCCTGGTAATGATAATGTCAGGATAGAAGTCAGAAGAAACGGGGCAACATCTCTGCTACCCCAAAGGTAACTGATAATTGCTCATTGAGTTGTTACCTTTTAAGACTAAAATTATACTGTGTTCCGAAGGATTTTTAAAATTTGAAAGTTGATTTAAAATTTTTTAACCTATCATTTATTCAGTGCTTTTGCTTATAAAACAATCACACAGGATTGTTTGCCATCTAAATGTGTAATATCCAAACTATGTTTGATTCCAGTAGCTTACTTGGTAAGAATAATATGAGATGATTCAACAATTTCAAATGTAGTCTGAAAATTATGTATTTTGGCTGCTGCCAAGCCTTCCCTGGTTTTTGGATATTTTCCAATCCTATCAGAGTAGGGAGGAAAAGAGAAGGGGCTCTCACTGCGCGAGGGAGCTCAATGAGATGGACACATTGCAGAATGGCTTTCCAAAGCCTGGTGCTCAAGACTTCTGTGAAGTCTACATCTTGGTTTCACTGTCAGCCACGGTTTTCTCAGGCTCATTGTCCTGGGCAATCAGCTGATATGGCTTCTTCATTTCATTCTCCTCAATCACGGAGTTCCCCATTTCAACATCTCGGTTCTTTAGTTCATGACGAGACAAATGCTCAACGATCCCTGCTCCAAGAGAGTCACCCAGCACATTGGTGGTGGTTCGGAGGCGGTCCCTGCAGGTGGGTGGGGCAGGAAGGGAGGAAAAGAGAGGGTCCCATGAATATCACCAGGTCCCAGCTTCTATTGTGAACTGACTGGAGGAGTGTTTAGAAGCATCTCTTAATTCTTTGTAGTGTGTACCCCTCCAATGGAATGATTTCATACTTGACACATACCTACAACAGTCACTGTCAAAAGGTATAAAGACAAGGGGCTGAAGAGATGCCTCAGAAGTTAAGAGTGCTGTTTGCTCTTCCAGAGGTCCTGAGTTCAATTCCCAGCAACCACATGGTGGCTCACAACTCTCTGTAATGAGATTTGGTGCCCTCTTCTGGTGTGGGCATGAATGCCAGAATACTGTATACATAATAAATAAATCTTAAAAAAAAAGTTATAAGGACAAGAAGGTGATTAGTTTTCAGTGATTCTGGCTATAAACAGAAGGTGAACAGTGAGGGCTGACCATCCCCCTCTCCCTGCTTGCACCCTGTGTGTGTGTGTGTGTGTGTGTGTGTGTGTGTGTGTATGTTTTGTGCTAGACTGTGTACACACATGTTTGGAGGCCAACAGTGTGGTCTTCAATTATTTTCCACCTTATGTTTTGAGATAGGGACTCTTGTTGAACCTGGAGCCCACTGATTTAGTGAGACTGGCTTGCCAGCCATTTCTAAAGATCCTCCTGTCTCTGCCTTTCCAGTGCAAGTCTGGAATTATAGGTGTGTGCCATGACACCCTGCTTCTTTTTAACAGGTATCGAGCTGAGGATGGAACTCAGGCTCTCATGTTTACACAGCAACTGAGCCATTTCTCCAGTCCCCTTTTCTATTTTTATTTAACATTTTCTCTTTCCTCCCTTCACCTACCATTGTACCAATGGTTCTCAAACCATGGCTCCATGGGGAGGGGTCCTGGGATAGAAACCGTTTTTTTTTATAGTATTACTATGGTCTCATTTGCTCCCTTTACTCTTATTTTCTTGGAAACTTGTGGTAAGTTTTGCATAACAATGTGATGTATAACCTCATAGCACACTGGATGCAGTGGCAGTTGGAACAACAGCTGTCTGATATTAAGCAGGACATTTAGGGGACTTACAAAATGTAACCCAGTGCCATTCTTTTGGCTAACTTTTTTGTCTAGAAGTGATTGATTACTTTTCACAAAAATTGTTATTTACGTCAGCACATAAAGAATTATTATTCTAACCTTTAAAAGAAATAAAAACATGTGTGAGTTTTTATACTATGGCAATGGGAGTAAACCATATAGCTTTAATGTCACCCATTTCAATCAGTTTTACCCATGAAGATAAAAAAAAAAAGTCTTGAGAGTGGAAGCTTATATTCCACCAAAGTCCCTTTTGTTTTTGTTGAGACACAGTTCCATTTAGCCCAGGCTGCCTTTGAGCTCATGTGGCCTTGGAGGACAGCTTCTAACTTTTGATCCTTTTGACTTCACTTACCACATGCTGAGATGACAGGTTTGGACATCCCCCCTCCCCCGGCCCCGTTTATTAGTTCTGGGGAATGAACACAGATCCTGATTCGAATTAGGCACTCTGCCAACCCAGCTACAGCCCTTGCCCCAAAGTGTTGGTGTTAATTGATGTCTCAGAGCCAGATCATGGACTGAGTTCTTTCTTATCTGTCATTGAATTTAATCACTATAGTGTCCACAGCAGGCAGAGGACACGGGTATCTCCATTTTAGGGAGGTAGAAACTATGGTGGCTAGGTAGGCTGATAGTCATGGGGCCTGAAGTGATGGCCTAAGTAACCGAGGAACTCATGCTGTGTCCCCTGGCCTTGGTGTACACGGTTGGCCTCTTCCTAGCTGTAGTGAGATCATCCCATGTGGACACCAGCATCCAATGTGTTCTCCTAGGTACTCTCTTTGGGTGTCCCTTACACAAAATTTCCAATAGATGGGAATTTATGAGAGACTAGGGGTAGACAATATCCTTGGAAGGGTGAAGTAGGAAGGCTTGAAGACAGGCCCTACATGGTGGGGTCTAAAGATGTGGAGGATACATTTCTTGGGGTTTTCCTCAGAGCACCAGATCAATTCTACTTGACGATATGAACTCTCTGTCTGTACAGCTATCTCTCACCTTATGGGTCTCAGACACAAACATCTGCCCTGAATTATCCCATTGTAGGAAGAAGCCCAAGGAGAAACAGGCTGAGCGGGCACGTGGGGTCTGCTGCTCCAGCTGCTGAGGGCATGTGTTGTGCAACCCGAAAGAGAGCCTGGCTGACTTATGTCAGCTTTGCAGACAGTAGGTTTCCCAACTCTGAGTGGCTTTATGGAGTGGAAGGGAGAGTAGCCAGATGTGCCCTACAGGCTGAGAGGAGGGAACTTGCATGGCATGTTAATCTGGGACTTTAGATAAGGACTGGGGACTAAATAAAGAGGAAGATTTAATTACAAGCTGGTGTGTCTTTTGCTCTGTCCTTCAAGTCCATTAGGCTGTTTGTTTGTGGGTGCGAGAAGGGGATGAGCTTGTGGGTGGGAGCTGTTGTGTGAGTCAGAACACAGTCCCCAATACTCACAGAAACCAGTCCACTGCGATGATGAGTGTGATGTCATCTGTGGGCAGTCCCACAGATGTCAGCACGATGACCATGGTGACCAGACCCGCCTGAGGAATCCCAGCTGCCCCAATGCTTGCAGCCGTGGCTGTGATGCTGTTGACAGAAGGACCAAAACAGAAAAGTTTACAAATGCCTCCTAATGGAGAGTATGGCGAAAAACTCAAGTTCCCATGCTTGAGTGGAGGACCTGCATTAGAAAAATGGAAATAAATAAGTGAAAACAATGAACTAGTAGTCATACTAATTAAAACTGATCATGCACTTTTTATTATGTGTCAACTGATATGCTGAGCCTGGTTTTCTCCATTTGATCGTCACAATGGCCCTCATGAAGTGGGCTTTATTACTGAGACCGTTTTTTAAGTAAAGAAACTGGTGGCTGTGTTCTTTTCTATGTTCTTACAATCATTTTGTAAGGTCTAAAAGGAAGCAGAAGGGGGTGACTCAGTGGTAGAGGATTTGCCTAGCATGTGTGAGGCCCTGGATTTATCGCAGCACTGCCAAGGAACTCACAAGTGAGTCTGAGCATGTGTGTATGTGTGTGTGTGTGTGTGTGTGTGTGTGTGTGTGTGTGTGTGTGTGAGCACTCGAGTGTGGTCAGTATGTTAATTGTCTGAAATTTATTTGATAGGGTGATGTGAGAGTGTGAAACTGCCTCCTCATTAGAAAATAAAGTATTGGCAAGATCTAAACCACTTATGATTCCCCCCACCCCAACTCCTCTGCTGTGGCACTAGAATGGCTAACTGGTAAGGCCACCTAGAATGAAATTAACACGTCCCAGCCTCCTAAATTATTGCTCATGAAACACAGATGGAGTGACTGGCCGACTGACTTCCCCTCTTCCCACTGGCGAAAATTAGTAACTGGTGAAAAGCCATCATAGACCACCTGGATGAAGGAACTACCTAGAAACTTTGGAACTGCAGCCTTCATTCCTTGCATTATGGAACACAGACCAGCCTTGAAGGCTTTATGAAGCAAACCTTAAAGAGAAATGTTTCTGTACCTTGTTTAGGTCACTGATGACATTTTCATCATTAAGTCACACACAGCTGGAACTTTGTGTTAACTCAGGAGTCCTCAGCCAATATGCCAAGGTCTGTCTGAGAACAGGTGAGATAGTGCACCGAGACACTGATCTCTAGCCTCCAGTGTGGTTAGACTGAGCCTCCTGATTCCTGGTCACAGTAACCTAACCTCATCATTTTATTCTAATGTATAGCATGGCTATTACCCCTTCCTAACAACATACACAAGCATACAGACTGTAACACAATTTTAAATAAACATAAGAAAAATGTGGGGTGAGTGGTGGAGATGAAAAGAGATCCAAAACATACTTTAAGACATAAAATTGAGATTCGATCTTAATCTGAGAGAAAAAAAAAGCTGCAAAAGACATTTTAGGGTGCAGCGGGGGAAATCTGAAGAAGGATGGGCATTTTGGAAGTACTTTTGAGATTCTATTATTGTGGTCATGTGGAAAAATATCATTATTATTAGGACGTGAATGCTGAATGATGTCCAAGTGATATAATGAGACAGGGACAGAGAGGGAAGAAGGCAGTGAGAAAGAGAGAGAGCGCTCAGGCATGGCAAAATGTTAACTTGTAGGTCTAAGTAGAAGATATTGTTTATTTTCTATATGTAGGGAAACTTATATTAGTAAAGAACTGTGAAAACCAAAGTCCAATTTCGAATATTGTTACTACTAGCTAAGTGCAAGACCACAGCAATGAAGGATGTAGCTGATCTGAACCAGGAGTCTTAAAGCCTCCTGCTGCCCTTAGTCTTTCTGGCTCCTTGCTTACTCCAGTAGGCAAGAAAAGGTAAAGGGTTAAATCTGCACAGACATGTGGGCTGTCTTTGGCAGGTACAAGGAAAACCTCTAGGAATGATAGGTGCCTCTGCAGGAGGAAACTAAGAGATTTGAGAAAAGCACAAAAAGGAGAATTACTTTTCATTAGATATCTTAAGCGTGGGTTAAATGATTCTCCATAAAATTGAGTTCTTTGCCTTACCTGTGTGATCTGTGATTTATCTTATACTGTCTAGAAACTAACTCAAGAGAATAAGCTAATCCAGTTTTCAAGTGTATTCTCATTTTCCAATGTTGCCTATAGACATAGTTTTATGTTTGCAAAAGTGGAGTATAACTTAATGTTTCTAAAACAGAATTATCCATATATATATATATATATATATATATATGACATTAAAAGATGAGCCAGGTATATCTGTAAATTCTGTACTGATAAGCAAACCAATCAATGGGTACATGGTATGTGTGATATGATTAATTACTAAAAAGAAGTGTGTATGTGTCCTTGCATTGGAAAAGGTCTTTGGGAGTCAGTCATGGACAATGGTTACCTAACAGAGGGATTTAATATGGTAACAGGGAAGTTGTCCTTTCCATGTCACACACTTCTGCATTACTTGGAATGAATATTCATGTTTGAAGTAAAAAAACTGAAAAACATATCCATCTAAACCCAAAACTACTCCCTCCAACTCCAACCTCCTGTTAAAGTGTGGGCCCCTTCCAATCAATTTTTTCACCTAACCTCATCTGTTAAAACCATTCTGAAGAAAACGTTGAGTAGAAGTCTTCCCTTGTACCTTATTGTAATAATCTGCCCAAAGTTCAGGTCAAAGTTGTTAACTTGAGCGATGAAAATGGCAGCCAAGGCCTCATAGAGGGCGGTCCCGTCCATGTTAATAGTGGCCCCCACCGGAAGCACGAATCTGGTGATACGTTTGTCCACGCCATTGTTTTCTTCTAGGCACTTGAAAGTGATGGGTAGGGTGGCCGAACTGAGGATGGCAAAACAGGGCATGTCAACTGAGTGTCCCTGGCAGTTCTGTGTTTTTGCCTTTGGTCTTTTGCACAGATAGTTCCTTCCTCTCATGTCCTAAGTTAGCACTTGTCTAAATAGGGGGTTAGGAGTAGTGTGGTGCCCTCACAGGGTCACTTGGCCACTCTTCTGTGCCTGGATTCCTCTGAGGACTGACTTGTGATTATTCCCATACCACGGATGCCTGGGCCACATCGTTTTCTCCCTTTTCTCTCAGGCAGACATCAATGGAAGATAGGAAGCCGGTGGGTAGGAAAGGCCTCTTCCTTTCCCTTTGGCCCCCCAAAGGACTTACAGATAGCCATTCCCAGGATCCCAAGGAGGCATGATCAATATCAGAGGTGAACAAAGCCAATTCAATATTCCCGAAATTTAAAAACCAGAATAAAATGCCTCCATTACTCCCACCCCAAGAAGCTAGGATCCAAGGTAAAGATTTAGACACACTTTCTTTTTCTTTTTCTTTCTTTCTCTCTTTCTTTCTCCCTTTCTTTCTCTCTCTTTCTTTCTCTCTCTCTCTTTCTTTCTTTCTTTCTTTCTTTCTTTCTTTCTTTCTTTCTTTCTTTCTTTCTTTCTTTCTCTCTTTTTTGGTTTTTCGAGACAGTGTTTCTCTGTGTAGCTTTGAAGCCTATCCTGGCACTCGCTCTGGAGACCAACCTGGCCTCGAACTCACAGAGATCTGCCTGCCTCTGCCTCCCGAGTGTTGGGATTAAAGGCGTGCACCACCAACGCCCGGCTTAGACACACCTTCTTAGAGGAGTAAGCCACATACATGCACATACCTTGAGGAGGTCCCCAGAGCTGTGATGAGCGCTTGCAGCAACCCTCCAATGAAAACCCAGGGGTTCTTCCGGGTTACCAGGAAGTAGAGGAGTGGCAGGACGATGACAGCGTGAATGAGGAGGCCAACAATGACTGTCACTGTGTACATGGCAAGCTGCCCTCCAATTACACCCATGTCTTCCATCTCAACAATTTTCCCTGCGATCAAGAAGAGGATGCCCAGAGGTGCATACCTATGGAAAGTAGCACATGCTCAATTGGACGTTTGATTTCTATAAGTTATTGCATGTAAATTACCAAGTTGTGGAGGAAAAAAAACCAAAAACCAAAAAATAAAGAGGGAAAGACAGGGTATTTTCAAACTGAGTCCTGTAGAAAGATGTCATTCTTTTCTGTTTAAAATTCAAAATTCCCCAGATAATTATAAATTACTCTGAATCGCTCTAGGACACCCAACCCGATGCCCACTGGCCCTAGACCTTAGAAAGGAGAAGTTTTGGTCCTCATCTCCATTTTCCTAGACATGATTGGGTCCCTGCTTGGGTCTTCAGATGCCTGCAACTCCTTTTCTCTCTTGACTCCTGCTAGGGACCTGGAACAAACCACTCTAACAGTATCCACACTTCTCAGAACATTTTCCATACCACAGCTAAAGCAGGAGGTATGCTATGCCAGGCTGTGCTAAGTCTTGCCAGAGGTCATGTGGTCAGCTTTCTTAGTCTAGGGCAGTGTTTCTTAATGTGTGGGTCATAATCCCTTTCACAGAAGTCACCCAAGACCAACAGAAAACACAGATATTACATTACAATTCACAACAGTAGCAACAAAAATAATTTTATGGTTGGGGGTCACAACATGAGGAACTGTATTAAAGGGTCCCAGCTTTAGGAAGGTTGAGAACCACTGCTCTAGGGCCACTTTTATTGCTTTCTTCCATAGCTATGCTCTACTTAAACTATATTAGTGACTTTCTTCAAGTCACCTTTTATACTTAAGTAAATTTCCTTTCACAGGAAATTTTATGTTACTATGCAAACTAAACACTACTACTACTACCCACCATAAATAGAAGACCATAAAATAAACCCAGAGCTCTTAAAATTAATAAAGTGTGTGGATGTACAGCTGCCGTCAGGTTATAGGCATTCGAATTAAGTAATTATCCACAGACTGTTACTCACAGTCCCTGCAAGAATGAGCAAATGACCCTACGACTACTCATACATGCTGGACTAACCCTACTTGCTGAAAGGCTGACTTTCAACTCCCTTTTCGTAATGTGTGCACTAAGCTAAAACGAAACATACTGCCCAAGATGGAAGCCAATCACCCTTAGGGAGAAGGGTCTGCTGGGAACTGTGGAGGACTTGCCGCATCTCAAGAAACACAATGCTCCTTTCAAAGGCCCTTTAAAAATGCGGGCCAGGAAATCGCAGAAGTACCTGTTCTCAGAACTGTAATAACTCAATGTGGAGTGTGTAGGCGAATGTATAGCTAGAAAAGCTACATGTGAGGTTCATTCAGTGGCCTTGAATGGTCTCCTTTCATAGAAGGGGTGAGAGGTGGAGGCATTTTAATAATATGAAGATAAACGTCCACTTTCAGCCCAGCCAGGATTTCAAAGGAGCCTTCCAAGTGAAGGCTCCTGTGGGGACCACATTCTGACCTGTCATTATGCCAAGCTCATATTCATCTTGTGCAAACTCCTAAGAAGTGGATTTCTATGGGCTTTGGGGGCATTAGAGACAAAGGATATTTTTAATCATGTTGGTGAGTGAATGCTTTTTTCAGCGATTGATGCCTTCCTGCCCCAGGTGCAAAGAAGGACCCTAGATATTAAAAATCAAGGATGAAAGAAAAGTGACTCCAACACAAGGCCTACGCCAAGGCAGCGCCCTCTCCCTGCTGGGGACAGTTTACTTTCCAAAGTCAATGCTCTCCCCCTTTGGATGTAGTCTTTCTTTTGTCTCCTGCTCTGAATTTTATTAAAAGAAGTTCCAAGTTGTGGCTGAGCAGTCCATAATGCTTCCTGTGAGCCTTCCAGTAGGCTGCTACAGCTCTGCCACATAGATTCCTTCCTCAGAGTTCAAATAGAAGGGAAAACTCATTCCTGCCCCCTCTTCCAATGATCAGGGCCTGTGTTTGCTTTTTCTCCTGCTGGGAATGCTCTTTTTGTCCAACTAGATGTGCCAAGTCATTTTGATCTGAGCAAAAAAGTCACCCCAAGCCTTTCTGTATTACCCAAAGCAAATGGCCCACCTTCTCCCAGCTTTTACTTCTTTTCACCACACTTAGAACTCAGGAATATGATATTTATTTGCTTGCTCATTGTTTGTCTGCCTTAAAAGTGTGTGAGACCCAGTGTACCCTTGTCTGCTGTCTACTGTCTCTGTTGCTGTGGCTAGTATGCTTGGTACTCTATACTTATCACAGAGTAGAAACTCAATAACTGTGTGAATGAATAACTAGGCACGTGTCAAGTGGGTGGATGGGGTAAGGAAGTTGAACCTTTTCAAAACAAGGAAGCACATTTGGGTTGAGGGCCTCTGCAGTGCCAGAAATACACCAACTTTCTGTGGTTTCCAGAAAAAGATCACTGCAACTATCCAACTGGCTTGGTGGCATCTTTCTCAGAACAGAACACACACCGGTTATAATAAACAATGGTACCCAGCTTGTACACAGCCAGGAAGCTCATAGAAATACATACCACATTATCACCGCTACCAATCTCATGATGGCTTCGTTAAGAGAATCAAAGAAATCTCTCAGGGCTTGCCCCTGCTCCTTCATGTTTCCAATCACAAAACCGAAGCACATGGAGAAGACAACTAGGCCCAGGGCATTGACTCCATTCACAGAGCCAGGAACAGGTACCATCTCCTCCCGGATTCGGGTCAGGGTCTCCATGGCCTCTGACACATTGTTGATCACAGCGCCCAGGAGTGTTTCATTGGTCTGGATGGGCACTCTAAAACTCCTCTTCTCATAGCTGGTTTTAAACTTAAAAATAAGAAGTGCAACAGGAACCAAGTGATTTTTATTTGTCTTTTTATATTTTCTTGTTGACCAAGTTTTCTATCATGATATGTTATTTAAAGGACTACATTATAGACAGTATTTCTCTATCTACCTACCTATGTATTATCTATCTAATTTGTGACAGATACCTGTTTCTCAACATGGACATACCCACCCACCCACAGTGAAATACATATAAATCACATTGTGTACATACACACTCAAATACATAACAAATTACAATGAGCAGGGAATACCTGGCAAAAGATGTCAGACTCAACATACACACATACCCTTGCTTTCTTCTAGAATCTTAGTAAAATGACTATAATGAGATTTTCAAAGAGCCACAAACTCAAATATTCCTAAGTCCTTTTGTCTTCTATGGAACCCATATGGACTGCATAACATACAGTCCTTCATTTCATATCCCACAGCTGTGAAACAGGATAACCACTGATTTTACTTCACAGGGTTGTGGCAATGGCCAAATTAAGCACCACAATCGACAACATTTTGTAAAATGTAAAATACAATATTAATGAGGACTAATGGTGTTCAGTGACAATGCCCTTTAGGAGTAGACTTGGTTAGACACTTCAGAGGACGGAAAAAAAGAAATCCTCAAATGACCAGTCCAAGTCATTCCTGATGTTATATCAACAAATTAGACTCCTCAAAATTTAAAAACAAAGTACCAAGTGTATTTCTTTCTTTTTCTTTTTTCTTTTTGGTTTTTCGAGACAGGGTTTCCCTGTGGCTTTGGAGGCTGTCCTGGAACTAGCTCTTGTAGACCAGGCTTACAGAGATCTGACTGTCTCTGCCTCCCGAGTGCTGGAATTAAAGGTGTGTGCCACCACCTCCCGGCCTATAAATTCTTATTCTTAATAGCTCCCTGCTTAGTAACTGGTGATGATAACCTTCTTGCTCCAAGACACTTTTCTCCTAAGCCAAGCCTTTTCCCATAGCTCCTGCTAGATGCTCCAGTCGGCAGGTGCTGAGAACATTGAAGTAGTCACAGTTAAGCCTCTATGATCTCCAGAAAAGTGAAATTGCTGCCCTGGCCTTGATAGCACCGGTGGTAAAGCAACAGTGAGTGATGGAGTGTGAACATTGAGTGGGTTTGGAATCTAGGTAGGAAGCCATGGCCACACATGAACTACTTGGCTATTTTTGTACCAAGAATGAGCAGGAGACTTTCTGGTCTATTGGGAAACCACCATCTCCAAACAGGAGCATGGACAGCTGTCAATACTGTGGACTGCTGGTTATTTTCAAAACACATAAAATTCTATTACAGTCAACTCTCAGTCAATTCACTTGGACATTTGTGTATTCTGTGGATTCCCCAGGGTACATTTTCAGACCTGCTCATCCTGTCTTAAACCTCCTACTCTTCACCTTTAGACATAGTTTAGAGCCTCCTCAGAAACCTTATTTGCATTCTAGTCTAAGCCAAATAGATCTTAGGGCAACACATTTGCTTCCCACACACAGTTCTGCAAATGCACCCAAACTGAATGCAAGCCCAAAAAGGTCAGCACTTTCCCTATCTAACAGATGTAGAAACCATCAGTTTTGATGCCATCCATTGCCAGCTCATGAACAGACAGACTCACGATGCTGGGTGGGTTTGCTGGATTGAAAAGGATTTATTCTTTATTGTTATTGTAGTTCTTGAATAAAGGAAGTTAGATTTTTGGCTGCCTGAGCATTTTTTTTTTTTAACTTTTGTGTTCCTGGGAACTAAACTCATGGTCTTGCATGTATTCTATAGGCATTCTACACCTAGACTGTATCCACCTCTCTCTTTTGGTTATACATACATACATACATACATACATACATACAAACATACATATTTAACTAAAATTTTGTTGCATTTATTTATCTAGTGTGGGTAGGAGCAGATGCCATGGTGCACATGTGGAGGTCAGAGAACTATTTGGGAGAGTCATTTCTCTCCTTCCAACATATGGGTCCCAGAGATTGAGTTCAAGTCATCAGGCTTGGGGACAAGTGCCTTTACCACCTTGATTGCCCTTTGCTTTATGCTGTGAGACAATGCCTCATTAAATCACCCAGAGTATGCTTGAACTCACTCTGTAGCCCAGGCTAGCCTTAGACTTGTAATCCTCCTGCACTCTATTGACTTTTCGTGTTTTTTCTTTTTTCTTTCTTAAGAAGGGAGTGTGTTTTGATCTTGCAATCTGTTTGTGCATTAACTTTTACAAGCAGTTAAGGGAGGGGGAAAGATGGTATCTTACAGTTCTCCATGAGGTCAGGGTTTGGTTTTAATTTGTATGTCCCAAGCAGAAAGTTTAGGTGGATTGATACCACATAGGGGAGTGTCTGGGAAGTAGCATTTAATCTATAGGGTAACCCTTTCATAGCTTGGGCAACTGAGCTTTTCTAATCAAGTGAGGCTAGAAAGAACTGTATTGCCCAATACTAGAAGATATTTGTATCCGCCATATAGAGAGCCAAGAATGGCTAAGATAAGAGGCACAAAGAGCTAGACCTCACCACGGCCTCCAGGTGGAGGCTCGGTGTTGCTTTCTAGGAAGCAATGTGGAACGATAGGAAGAGGATGGGGGACATGGACCTGAATTCTGGGTCTGACATTCACTACTTGTGAGAACTTGTGCTTATTACATAATCCCCATTCTCATAAATGAGCAGCCTCATGGGTGAAGTGAAGACAGTGCTACTCATCGTGTTCATGTGAGGACTAAATATAACATTGGTGCCTGGCACACAGCAGGCATTCCGTACATGATGATGCCATTCCTTTCTGATATGGTTCTTCTCTAGGATCCCGAGGCTTTTAATAAGTAGGCCAGTGATTTTTAAATCAAACCCAGGAACCAGAATAGTCTGTCTAACTTTAAAGCAAGTTGTTAGTGCATTTATTTATATTTGAATTTGCTTGCTTTGGTGACTTTTTGTATAGGAGCCCAAGGAGGGAAAGAAAGAGAGGGCCTCTCAATTAGCCCTCTTAAATATAACCTAGACTAAACGTGCAATATACGTGTGCCTGGCAACAGGCCACCTTTAATACAAGTAAAGGGCCATCATCACCTAAGTTTGCCAGGTAATTCTGGCACTTTCTGTAGAGAATGAAAAGGCAAGAGAAAGGGGCCCTACTGGCATGGTATGTCTAAGAGGAACTTAAGTTTAACTATTTTTAAGTGTGTGTGTGTGTGTGTGTGTGTGTGTGTGTGTGTGTGTGTGTGTGAATTCAGGTGCCTGGAAAGGCTAGAGGTGCTAGATCTCCTGGAGCTGAAGTAACTGGTGATTGTGAATCACTGGACATAGGTGCTGGGAACAGAAAACTTGGTTCCTCTGGAAGAGAAGTCAGTGCTTGTAACCACTAAGCCATCTTTCCAGTCCCTGAAGAAGAATTTAAAAGGTGGCTTGGTAGCTGGAGAACATTTACCTGTTTAAAGCAGGCTTCCACCAGATTGGGAGGGAACATGTTCCTGCAAAGAAAACAGCAAGTCATTTGCAAAACTTCCCCAGTAGTAACTTGATCCTTAAATACTGCTTCAATGTGTCCAAGGTTAAGACAGCGTTGAATCCAGCAGCAAATGGAAAAACAGAGATACTGTGACTTGAAACTGGATACTTGGTTATTCCTTCTTATAGCCCGTGAAATTTACATTTTTCAGGGAAGCACCAGTTTAACCCAAATCTCCTCTCAGCTCACGGGAGTTTTCAGTCAGCCATTAGATTATTAAAACTCCACTGCTTGGAAGAATGAGTGAGAACAGAGATGCTTTTCCATCAGTAGGTGACTGACTCTGGACGTATCCAAAAGTGGTTATGTTGTTATTGTGCTATGGGTCTAGGGATCAAAAGATCTGAATCAAAAGACATGATTAGTTGTACCACAGAATATTTTTTTCTCTGCAGGCTTTCAGGGAGATAGAGACAGCATCCTAGAGAGTCTGAGGCTCTTTGGTAGGTAATGTAGAGCTTGACCCAACATTTGAACTTGAGGCCTCTGTGGCAAAGTTTGTCACTTCTTCAGAGACTCTGTCAGAGTGGTGTTTGAGGGGGAGAAATAGTCTTGCTCAGGATTGTGACATTGGCCAAGCCAATGGCAACCACTTGTCTCAGTTGATTCATCTGTTAAGGAGGAGGAGACCAGCCTGGTCTACAAGAGCTAGTTCCAGGACAGCCTCCAAAGCCACAGAGAAACCCTGTCTCGAAAAACAAAAACAACAACAACAAAAAACAAAACAAAACAAAACAAAGAAAAAAGGAGGAGGGTGGATTAAACTGTCATTAGGCTCTAAGATGGAAGACTTCGAGAAGGGGACATGACTCATGAACTTGGGATTTTAGAGACTGTGTGCTGTCATACTTCAAGGCTATAATTGCTTGTCTCTTTCTTGTTGCTATCTGGATCCTCCTGTTTTCTTTTTCTTCCAGTCTGTGCTCTGTGCATTTTGTTTGTTTTGTTTTGTTTACTATGATACAAGTGTACGTACAAAGAACTTCTAAGATAAATTCCCATGCTAAGTTAGGGGCAAGACAGCCAGCCACACACTTTTTACTGGGGCAACAGATAGAAACTTAGGATGTTCTGATGGGCCAACTAGGCTGGGGATAACAAGATCTCAATTTTCAAAGGTAAAAATTACAAAGGAGGACAATTATAATATTCCTAACCCAAACTAATTTCATGAAAACAGTAAAAGCTGTAATTAGTTCCAAGAACTTAATAAAAGCATAGTTATTAGTTACTAACATGCAGGGATCTTTTTAAAAACCTTTTAATTTTTTGAAATTATAATTATATCATTTCCTCCTTCCCTTTTCTATCTCTAACTCCTCCCCATGCACATGTATCTTCCTCATTGCTCTCTCTGGGCAGGGAATACAAAGCAGTTGCTACCTTTAGAGCACTGGGATCCACTCTATGAAAAAGGCTTTCAAGAAAAAGTCTTATTGTGGTTGGGTGAAGCTAACAGATGGATGTCACGTGGTGGGAATGGAGAGGTGCCACAAAAGGAGATCCTCTTCTCCAAACATCTCTTGACGCACTCTTGAAATAAGTCCCTTGAAGAAGCTTCTTTCAGACGAGCAATGGGGGAACCCTTGGGAGTGGCTAGCTAGCACAGACAACTTTGGTTCTTTGCAGGTAAGATGGAAAGAGGAAGAAAAGGTTAAGGTTTGATCAGAAAGCCTGGTGCTACACAGTGGGAGAATGCAAAGCAGACAGGAATCTAGAGCCCTGTGTTAGGACATCCACCATTTGCCCTGCTAGATCCATCCAGTATTCTGTGCTGAGCCCTAGGACCTAATCCATAGGCAACACAGCATATGGATTTGCTTGCTTTCTGACTCCTTTTGTTTACTGGAATTTGCTGACAGCTTACAGGGAAATCAGAGGGGAAAAAAAAGTCTATGTACACATTCCTGGTTCAGTTCAACTGAAGGTCCCTCCATCTCATTCTAGTTAGAGCTCCTACTCTAAGGCCCATTTCCTATGATGACAGCTCTGTGTCCCTTCACAGTCAGGTGTAGTGACAAATATCTCATATGTTGGGGCCTCCCAGAAGCTGTTTAGAGACGGGGTCTTGCTATGCAGCCTAGGTGAGGCAGACCTCAAACTCATGATTCTCTTGTCACAGTCACCCAGGGCTGAGATTATAGTTTGCATCGCCACACTGACTTTCAGAGTTCCCTTCGACTGTGTAGTGGATCTGACTGATCCAAGGGCAGGTGGAGAGAGGGAAAGAAGGAAAAAGACTCAAACGTTGGCTTGCTTTTATGATCAATTCCACTTCAATTGATAGGACTTGACCGTGATCAACATCTAGTTTGTTTATGATACACAACAGAAGAGCATCCTCTGACTTTTTATTAGTGATCTGTCAAATCCTTTCTCCACAGATAGTACAAGAGAGGGAGCATTAGTCAGGAATGGTCAGATGAACACACAAGTCCCTGCCGAGCCACACTTGTTGCTTGCAGTGGACAATGATACAGGCTACTAATTTTAAATTGGGGATCCTTTGCTAAAAAAAACTACCTTACAGAGCAAGACTTGGGAAAAGAACATTAAGAGTTACCCAGTTAGTCCAGGGTAACTGTACAGTGGAGTTAGATTTTTTTTTGAATCCCAGTTCATCTGCTTCCTGTTTATCTCATATCTGCTATGACAGGTCAGAAGCTAGATCCTCAATATCAACTTCTGTTAGAAAGAAAGAGAGATGTGACTTCCATTTCAAGCCTGACAGGGCTGGTTCCATCAGACATGTCTTTGAGAGTTTGGTTGACTTACACCCCAGGAACGGGTTCCAAGGACATACCTGATTAAATCCAGGAAGGCATCTGCAGCAGTCACTTGCACAATTTTACCTTCTCTGTACATGTTTTCCTTTGTGCCCTTTCCGGGATGGATGATGATGACAATGACTATGCCAATCACCACAGCGATGATGGTAGTGGTCATGTAATAGACCACAGCTCGCATGCCCATCTTCCCTGACGCCTTACTATCTAGGGCCGCCATTCCTGGAGAAGGCAAACAGAGAAGATTTTCAGGAAGTCAGTCCAAGGGATTCTCCAGTGGAAGATAAGGGGAGCAGCATTCCCTTCTACATCCACTTTCCCTCATCCCTCTCAGAAATACCTACTGTGAGAATATCAGTGAACATGTGATTACCCACGTTCTACCTCAGATTGCTTTCATGGGGCCAAGGAATGCCAGCTTTCTAAAAGCTTGAGGTGCAATTCATTTCTTCCCTAAGTTATTATAAGTTGGGGAACCTACATGTATGGGTAGTGTGTGTTCGTGTGTTCGTGTGTGTGTGTGTGTGTGTGTGTGTGTGTGTGTGTGTGTGTGTGTGTACAGAATTACTTGAGGAGATTTCCATCAGAATAATATAAGTCTACCTAAGCCCAAACACTGTCATGTCATGTACACAGGCTGTCACTGAATTCTTTGTGAAGAGTTATTATTTTCTATGTGTGTTTAAGGAGACTTCTGGATGTCTTTTATGTACCATTTGTTTGTATTACAAGCACTTGCCAATCTATCTTCACTTTGCATTTCAGGCAAACACTGGGCTCTAAAAGCTAGAGTTCTCATAACACATCTCTGTTGCTTTATTTCATCTCATTTAATAAAGTTGAAAACATGTTTGTGGAGTTCTCCTTGAATTCTTGTATCCCATCTCCCTCTTTTTTTGTCCCACAGACACCTCATGACATGTTAAAAATACCCCTTCTCCTCATTTTCAAGATATACTCAATGTCTACTTAAGGGGAAGTCCAGTGTTAGTCCAGGTGAAAAGGAACACACGGCTTTTAAGGGCTCCCACTGGTGTAAACTAGTGGGACATGTCTCAGGGTTTGTTGGGCTGCAGAACAATGGGAAAGAAACTCTCAAAAGACTAACTTAGCTATAACAACATGGGAGCTCTGGTTTTCTTAGCCGTCTCTCTCCACTTCCTTTCTTTATCCTTCCAGTCCTATCACAGTACTGAAATCTAATTGTTGTGTAATCTAATCATGTTCATCAGAATGCTTTCTTTACTATTTTTTGAGAATTATTTGTGCGTGTGTGTGTGTGTGTGTGTGTGTGTGTGTGTGTGTGTGTGTGTGAGAGAGAGAGAGAGAGAGAGAGAGAGAGAGAGAGAGAGAGAGAGAGAGAGAGAGAGAGAGAAAGAGAGAGAATGCTCCTAGAGGTTGGAAGAAGGCATCAGACCCTTAGGAGCTAGAGTTACAGGCAATTGTAAGCTTCCCAATGTGGGAATTGAACTTGGGTCTTCTGGAAGATCAGAAAGCACTAATCTCTGACCCATCTGTCTAGCCCATTATTTACTATTTAAGTTGCATTTCTTCATCAATGTATTAAAAGATAATAATAGTGTGCTTCTTTTTCTTTTAATGGTGTATTTACTTTTATTTTTATATGCATTGGCGTTCTGTGTGCATGTATGTCTGTGTGAGGGTGTGAATCCCCTGGAACTGGAGTTGTACAGCTGTGAGCTGCCATAAGGGTGCTGGGAATTGAACCTGGGTCCCTTGGATGGACAGTCATGGCTCCTGAGCCATCTCTCCAGACCCATTGGTGTGTTTCAATGACAGATATCAGTGCCCATACTTATACAAACATATTTAGGGTAAGATTGAAAACAAGTATTCATGATTGCTAAGTAACTGGTTAAATTTGCCTAAAAATGTTGACACAAAGGTACTGAAGGAGGGATTAAAGTTACAACTTTCAATTTATAATTCCAATCACAAATTATATGATTTTCATAAGCATTTACTTAACAATCACCTAAAGCCTAATGTTCTAGTGAATAGCAGGTAGAATGTCCTGGGAACTCAAGCTCAGGCTGACTGGCTTTAGTGCATGACCTTGACCTCTTATCTGTGAAACCCAGGCTTAAATGCCCATTTACTGAGATGGTACTACTTAGCACTTCTGCGACATTATAACAGGGCTAATACGCTCTCAGCAGATGTTCTTCATGTCCCCATTTTCATTCTCAGGACTGACTCATGCTCCAAGACAGCTTTACTTTGCTGTCATTGCAATAATATCTCCACAAAGGGACCCACTCTCTTGCTGGATTGCCTGACTTGACATCACTAAACTACACCATCCTTCTGGCTCTTTCCTTGTCTAAGTGAGCAGCATAAATGCCATGGCTTCTATCTCTGCTAGGAGATACCAGGAGGCAGTATTTTCTTCCTCTGAGAGGAACTTCTCTTATCCTCTGCCTGCTACCCTGTGATCCTTCTCAGATGTCTTCCCTGATGCTCCCACCCATGACTGCCAGTCTATAAGCTATTTAGAGAGAACACTGGTGGTCAGGATAGCATCGGGTCCAAAGGTAGAGAAAGAGGCTTCTGTATCCCTACCCATTGGCCAGAGGGATGGGAACATCATCACCATAGCCACAGCTATAGGGTCAGTACCTTTAGGAAATCCTTTGGCTTTTTTTTTTTTTTTAATGCTTTGCATGAAAACCAACATAAAAGTATCTTTTCATTCTTTCTAACTCTGAAACAAGAAGTCCGACCACCAGAAGTCATTTTCTTAACAATGAGCACAGAATGAAAACCATTAATCACCCACCTCTGCATAGTGGCCCCTTAAGTTTTGTGAGAAAATGAGCTGCTAGGGTTTTAACCAAAGAAGATCCTGACATTAACCAATTCTCCATGAACGTCCTTCTCCCAAAGGAAGTCTGATGCCCCATACAGGACCACACTCACTCTCTCCTGCTCCTAGAATACTTCAGCTTCTAAAACTGAAGACACCACCAAGAACAAGGCCATATACTGTTGTCAGGGAAACAGCAGGGCAAATGTGCACAATTTGTTCCTCACACAATGGCCTTGGAACTAGTGGGGCCAGGAAAGTGATGGGAGAATTCCGGAAGACAAACCTCAAGCAAGCAGGACATTGTTCTTCCTCTCCCACACCTGAACTCTGTAACCATCCTATCTCTCCCTCATGATGAAATACGAGAGACCCAGTTCTACAGCAGAGACTAAACACACACATGATGAGAGCCTGGGGCAAGGTTAGAGTACTAAATCACTTTGTAGAAAAGGGAACATTGGCAGGAATGTCCCAAATGTTTAGAAAGGGAAAGTTTGCATGGACTCTTGTCATTTAGTTTAAAATTTAGGGGAGAAAAGGGCATTGAGGCGATGGGAATTGAGAAGTCATTTGGGAATGGGAGTCTGTTAGGACAGCCGTGCATTCGTCTAACATGTCTGAAAAATGCATTCCGGAGGAGTCGTAAAGATAGTGTTCGCACTGGCCTTTTTTTTTGCTCACTTGACATCTCATCTCTATATCTGCATTTGGCAAAACTCTGCCACCAGAATACTGGAATTCAAACAAAATCCTGTATTGTGTTCTTGTAAAATACCATGATGGCTCTCGCAGGTATAACAATATGTCCATATGTTTTGTATACTTTGAATTAACTGCTATGTAGGCTTATTCATAAAGTCCTGATGCTGCATATTTATTTAATTCCATGGCATGGCCTAATGCAGATATCCCTGATACTAATTTGTAGGCAAAGAAACAAGAGCCCAGAGAACTGAATGACTTGCCCAGTGTTCCACAGATAATAACCACAGTGGCAGGATCCAACCCATGCTTCTGAAAGACCACCTTGCCTTTTGCTTCCATTCAGGAGTTGCCCACATAGCACTTCTTGTTACTCATGTTGACTTTCCCTAGTTAAGTTGAGACAAAGTGCTTGGTCTGAGGAGGACACTATTTAATATAGCGATGTAATTATGGAAAGCCTCTGATCAATTCCTCTCCATGCCTTAGGTCCACCCCAGGGCCAACCCGAGTAGTCACAGGAAGGCCTATCTAGAGAGCTTATTTGGCAGTGCGAAGTCTCCCTCCACTCCTGGAAAAGTGGTCCAGAGAAGGCAGGCATGTTGTAATGGAGGGTGGAAGGCCATCGATTTTTTTCTGGCTGTGAGCAGATTTCCGCTTCTGAAAAATCTGTTCATCAATAAGCAATTATCCTGAAAACCTTCAATATACTTAAGAGCTAAGCACTGAAAAGAGATTAAACAGGAAGTTTTCTAGACTATCAAAGATTTAAAAATTGCTACAAATACCTGTATGTCTTGGGTGGCAGGCACTTGAAGATAAGAAGCAAGCTTCTTGAAGCAAATATAGAATAACTTCTTTTCTTATGAAGAAAGTCTTTGGGTAGTCAGTTTAGCATAACAAATATGCAGCAAAAAATTCATGGGGTATTTTGGAGGGGGAAGAGAGGAGTATTTCCTGCATGCTATGTGGAACTCTGAATTGTAAATTAAATTTCCTTTGATACAATGTTTTAGAATGGCTTGGATAAATGAAATACGTCTCCAGCCAAGTTTTAAAGGGGGACATAAATAACGCCAAGCTCCCAAGGTTCTGTCATTTTCATGGAATCCACTCTCCCATCTGCTAAAAAATCTATGCCTTACAAATGAACACATTTCAGTCTGCTTCTCTCACAATTCCTGTCTCTGGTTTTGGAATGAGAAATCCAAAGCAACTTCTGTTTTGAATTGTCTTTCCATGTATCCTCACGACACTTCATCGTTCTTCCACAGCCCCTGGACCAGACCCAGCAGGGACACAAAAGGGTAGTGGCAGCTGCTGATTCAAGAAGACTGCTCTGCTTCGGTTTTGAGTTCTTTTTAGCTGTGTTTCTTCTTCACGATGCATTCTCAAACACTCATCTAATGAAAGTCGCCTGTTTCCAGCCCTCCTAGAATTTCAGGATGGGCAAACTTACAGCAAAGCACTCAAGGATGAACACGTACCGTATTCATGGGAACACAGGGTGGTGTGGTTTTTAAAGACAGGAAGAGTAAACTCTAAAAATACCGTTTATTTCATGTGTGTATAGTACATAGAGAAATGAGTCCTAGTATCTTGAGCAGCTGTCTGCTGCTGAGTATTGGGCAAACAGTCACCTACAAAGGTGTTGTTGGAACCAGAGGGTCACAAGGTCACAGAGGAAGGG